TAGCAGCAGCCGGTTGTATAAAAAAGTAGTTACAGTTATGTAACTGTAGTTACTGTAGTACAAAAATTATCCAATCAAAATCTCGTATTTGAATGTTAACTAACATTTAACTACAAAATTGCGGCTGGTTGTATAAAAAGCTCAAGGTTAACCTTAACTGTAGTTAGGAAAAAGTTGGCCAATCAGAATAGTTTATTTGAGAGTTAACAACAATTTAACTACCCAAAATGTAGTTAAGCGTTTTATACAACAGGCCCAAGGTAGTTAAGAGTTAGGCTTTTTATACAACCAGCCCCAGATTGATTCACAAATGGTTTTAGTTGGCTATTATTATTAAAGACTAACGCCTGTATTCTAAAAGCTCACACTCAATGAGTGTGACACAGAAATCACATTACGTATACTGCTGATCAATAATAGAGTCCCTCCCTTAATAAATGGTAAGATATTGGGTGAAATACTCAAAATAAAGCTCTTAGTCGAGTGAAAAAATTCCGTCATGGAGTTGGGATGAGGTGATTGTGATCTCTAACTCAGTGAGTTTGAGTTTAAGTGAATTTTTTAGAATACAAATGAAACAACCTGAAGAATTACAATTTTAGATGACTTGACAGGGCAGATATTTTTTTGTCTGCCCTTTTTAAAATATGGCCTGCTTTTGGCCATTGGCAGGCTGCTATTTTGAATCATGAAATGGTATAATGCAGTAGTACTACACTATTTAAAAAACTTACTTGGGCTTGTTTGCCAAGTATCATCTTGCCATCAATCACTTGGATGGTACGCTGTTTGGAAATTGTTTCACAACCTTTTCCTGCTATTTGGTTTTCTCCTTGTACATCTTTTGGGTCTTCATTGGAAGAAAGCTCAACATTGCTTTCCAAGGCCTGTCAAATACATTCGAGATAATACATCTTTCAGGTACAAATACAATCATTAAGAGGTGAAATGCTTCATGCAACAAATTTCTTTCCATAAAAAACAGTTTACAATATGTTACAGATAATAAGTTTTTTTTAAGTTTACAGTTGGTACAAACACATTTATAATTTAACTGATCATTTAATGCCAGTAAACTCATCTGGGATTAGACAAAGTACATAATCAAGTACTAGGGTGCATGGCTTATTATTAGGGAACAATGCCATTTATTAGTGCCACAGACATAAGGACAGTCTTATATCAATGACTCAATATTATATTAGTGGTAGTAATAACAAACCTGTTACAACTATGGTAAATATATATACTATCATACTTATATCAACCAACATATTATTGTATGAATTTAATGATCTCTTCTATTATTGAATTTATATTACTGAATAAATATATTGTATTCTAGTAATAGCAATGTGCCAAAATCGAGGAAAACTTAATTTAAAAGACATTATACAAATACTGTTACCATATTGTGATGCTGTGGAAGCCAGGTAATGTTAAGGGGATCAATTCTCCCTTATTAGCTTTATGTGTTTAACTCAAGTCTTTTTAGTGAAGTCACCTTGAAATCCATTAATTGTAATGTAGGTATTTAAAAAATATAAAGTATATTGCATTTGCTTGCTAGTTAAAAGTAAACGTTTTTTCATCAGCGAAGCCTTGAAATTATACAAGGTTGATCTTATTTTGTATCATAATTCAGGGGCGTAGCTAACAACTGGGAGCTAAGACTACAGTATCCATGAAAACATTGTTGTAGATATGACATAAGTGTATGGCTAGATGAAAATACTGTTGGTAATTTCATTAAAATCAACTGAAATTTAATTACCGGTATATAATACCTTCAACCACTTTAGTATACCAACGGATATCCTTATGGTTATACAGATATACTATATGGAAAATAGGCCCATGGCTACACAAAACCTTTCTTTTCTATGATAAGGACAAGGGTGATGCTCCAAAAAGTACTTTCAAAATATTCCCCAAACCTCCCTAACTGTCCTTGGTCAGTACTCCCCCCCCCCTCCCTCCACCCTGTAATTGAATTTAACCAGGGATCATCATTCATTGCTATTTGTTGAGGCTAGCCGCATGTACGCATTTGTTCAATATATGTGGTACATTTTTTGTTTTCCAAGAAATAGCCATTCTTCAAAAAAATTAAAATCATATTAAAATTTACCAGGTCAACATTGAAATTACCTGTAGATTGTCATAATCATGATTTTCCTGCTTCCGAATTATGACTACTTTTATTTTATCTTTGTGTTGCATATCATCGATTGAGCAGTCTATGAACTCCTCCCAATCCTTGTCAAATCTTTGAAACAGTACCGTTGAAGAGTTGTCTATTGACACATTAAATATATCTTGGACAATTCGAGTCTTGTTTTCGCTCTTCACCAGGATATCAAGAGAAAAAACTTTTTTCATTTCATTGTATTCCAACAAAACTGCACGATCCTTAAAATTAATAAATACATTTTCTATTATTTCCGAACAGAGAGTCAGAACATGGTCATGGCAACATGCAACTTATCAAACGATGGTCATGGCAACATGCAACTTTAATATATCAAACGCCTGAGTGAACACAAACACAGCAAAATATTAATATTCATGACAGTGCTGTGATGTTTGAAATATTGACTGGTTTAAAGAATATATATTCGTTAAAATTTTTCATAACAAAAATCGAAGTACAAGGTGATATTTTTTAAATATTCTTACCTGAACGACGTTTCCTTCTCCAAAATTTTCCGCCATGTTGACTCTACTGACTACGTTCGAAGCAGAACCATGTGGCCAAAATCGGCTTTCCGTCGTATTTAGTCGGGACCGGAAACTTCATCTGTTCATCCGTAGTTGCAACCGACGGTAGTGATCGTATCAAAATATTTCAATGAGAATATTTATAAAATTATATTAAAAATATACAATATTTTATATGAAATTCGCTTTTGGTATACTAGTAATTACAGTTTATACAATTTACATTAGAAACTGCCTTATAGTCTGGTCTAAAAATTAATGAATGTCCAAAACAGTCGCTTTCTTTAATACAAAGTTCCTTCATTTTCCCCGAGGTGTAGGGCAATGGCGGCACAAAGTTCGTACATTTCCCCACATCTCGGGTAAAAATTACATTCAAAGTCCCTACAAAGTCATCAAATTTCCCCACTACAGCCCGGGGTCCCCAGGGTGGGGAAAGCCGATGACACACGCATTATTACATTCTTACATTTTTCGAGAATATTGTGTAATCTAGTGAAATATGACACCGCTTGCCCTCTAAAGGTCGTAAATCGCTATAATGTTGACATTTTACTATATCTATCGATAGGAATTTTTTCACTGAATCGAATGGTGTTATTTTCATATACATAGCATGCACTGAACCGAAGATATGAATCTGCAGAGTCGTATTACAGCAGTGTAATACGTTAATAGGATCATGACGTGAAAGAGTTAAAACTTTAAAGTAAACACAGAAAATCAACTTTCTGCTATAAATTAACTTAACCAAACATGGGAGCCACAGCAAATACAATCTGACTAATAGTTTATACAAAAAGGGGATTGCCGTTTTAATGTAAACCAGGGTCAATTGTAGCTTCAGCAAAAAATGATTAAAATCAGGAAGAACAAATTTTGTGGGTTTGAGGGGCATGATTTCAATTTTATTTCGGATTACAGCCCCCCCCAGCTACAGGCTTGAACTGAACAAGCGGCGCAGTTGAACTTAGGACAATTTGTGCATTACAATTAAAGCATGAATTAGCTACTTATAAGCTCTCGAAAACTTGTAGAATTTACCTTCAAAACCAATTTAATTTATTTTAATTATGAGTTCACCAATTTGCAGATATCATCAGATATAGGTGGTTTACAACCAATACCCAGCGAATCAAAGGTCAATAGGGCTTTTTCATTGGAACAAAGGAAAATAGAAATCCTTCGTCAAAGAGTATTTCTCAACATGCATACAAAATGGGCAATAACTCATTCTAATTATTTTATATTAGGGTTGTTTACGTTGGGGATACTGTTGTTAGTGTTTAAGAAACCAACTACAGTTGATGGTACTTTACAAGCTAAACATATTGTTCTCTATGAATCAATTGGTGGAGCTGTAGAGGCAAGTGTATTTTTTTCGTTTTTACATCTCGGGGAGCGTGGGTGGCAGATGCAGTCAGCGTTAATAATGTACATATGAAGATAGGGTATATTAAAGTTATAGATTAGAGTTATTAAGGTTTTTGTTTTCAGCATCGTCTCCAGGGGCTTTTAATTGTGCACGCAGTCGCGTGAAGAACACGCAGGAGGACACGCGTGGGGGGGAATGGAAAATTCGAAGCGGAAGCGCCTGGCGGAATTTGCAAATGAAATTTCAACGACGATATTGACAAAGGCATTCTTTTAATCCTCTCCCGCAGCGCCCTGCGTCCTGCCGCGAAATCCCACGAAGTCGCGTGGGTGAGGCGTGAGTCAGTTGGAGCCTGGGGATGAGGCTGGTTTGAAACAGATTTGAAGTTCTTGAAGACTCATAATAAGTATACTGTAGTAGTCCCCTCCCCTTTCCTTCGCCCAGAAAAAAATTCTTAATATTGGATGTCGAACACTTTTTTCATAATTATAGCCTCATGGCTCGGGTGAATTGAGACCTGTCCAAATGGCATGAAATAGATATCAAAGAGCTTACGCAAGGAAGTCAAATATGCGAAGACGACGGCTATTAATACAGTGATATTAATCAATAATAAGAAATGTATCTGGTAATTAAAAATCTATCGGGGGGTTTCAGACGTCGTCCTAACGTCGTCCAAACTCTGCTGACAACGGCTAAATACTTATTTTCACGTATCGTGTATTAGTATATAGTTCGCTAGCATTTCAAGCCGTGACAGGTAAGACAGCGCGACGTCAGGACGACGGCTAAATAAACTGTTTGGAAATATGGAAATTTTTTCTTGCATTTACTTTCGTATGAATATAATACCGTTTCAAAAGGTTAAAACGGAGCTTTTACCCTTCAGAGCGATTTTGATCACCTCTGCCAAATAAAATCTGGTAGAGGTGATTCAATCGTTTTAATCAGAGGTAATTTAACAATTATATGTCTTATCGTTGGATATAGCCGTACTCAACTTAGCCAGACTAGCTGCTAGTGTTATCCTTCAAATTCCTTTGTGTCGAACTACTACTTTCCAATCATCTTCCTTTAACCGTCTTGTCAAACCCTGGAACACCGTGTGTAAGGATGTTGGTCCTGCATGACACTTTCTCCAGTCCTATTGCTTTTACGACCTTTCTTAAGCGTGATTCAATTCACATCTTGTTCAGATAGTCTTCACTTCCTAACATACTTTCTCTTTCTTATAATTCATTCTTTCCGAATTAATATACAGTATACACTAATATGTTTAACATTTAAGTACGTCAAATCTAAATTGCTAACATGTGCCTTGCATGGGTCCTTTTTCAAGAGTTTATACCTTGCTTTTTTAATCTTCTATTTATAAGTTATCTATTTTTATGTAACTTGTTATTGTCAGGGGCGAAACGTGAGGGGGGTAGGGGGGTGTGACCCCCCCCCCCAAATACGAATCATCTAGATTGGCAGGAATATCCGGAAAAATTTCCCCCCCCCACCAAGGGGCTAGTTTCGCCCCTGGTTATTGCTTGTTATTCTTAGACTCGATAATTATTGTATGCATTATTGATCCAAATGAATTTGCGAAAACAAACTTACTAAAGCCCCAGTTTAACTGAGTGTGCTAATACTCGACAAGCTTTATTTACAATAATTTATTTGAATGATCATGAGTTGTTTTTAGCATGCAGTCGTCACCGTTGCATCCATCCCACATCTAAAGGTCTCTCCAGTTACCTAAATTATTAAGAAAGTGTGTTGCTGTAGATTTTGTAGCTGTATAACTTTAATATTAGACTGGCATTAAATATATTTATTGCAAACACAGATTCGTAGACTAACATCTGCTTTTTTTTAGATAGTTGCGCTTTTTGGATTTCTTGCCAGCGTCATATGGACATTCTCATTTGCGTTAGATATGTGTTTCCAGATGTATCAAATTGATTGGTACGTAGAAGCCTATGTCAATTGTGAGGAGTATGGATATAGTTTCATTGTCTATAGATTAGAGACAACTGCGGTGTGTCGACGGATATACAACTACCTGAAAAATTTAAGCAGAACTTGGACGTATTCGAGCGAAGGCCCTTCGTCAGGAAGTTACTTATAACTTATTGTCTCACTAACTTTCCAACGAAGGGTCTTGGCTCGAAACATCGAATTTTGCTTTTATTTTTTCATGTATAGCTCTTCATATATACTGCAGCTGTTTGTTGTGCACCGATGCATTAAATGGTAGCTTTAAAACAACTATTGAACATTTAGCACTTAGAAAACTATAATCTATATTATAGTTTTCTAAGTGCTAAATGTTCAATAGTTGTTTTAAAGCTACCATTTAATGGGCCAATTTTACTCGAAACCTTAGTAACTTACTTCTTCGCTGGTTGTTATATACTTTAAAATAATTCTGTAGCTCATATTTTGACCAAATTTCGCCCTCATTCGAGCGCCAAAACGGATTCAAATGCCTATTAGGTGTCCAGATGATTCCAAATAGGAAACATGGACGGTAGACGCTTCAGGGCAAAAACCAATACGTAATATTTCGTAAATTTCTGAAAAGTGTACAGCAAGTATATACATGCTACTACAAAACAGACACGTAGTTCCAAGATTAATTTACCTTCATTCGCTCCATTTTCTTCCACAAGTCATCATATTTCAATGTGTAAATAAATATATAAATCATAAATTTTAACCCCTCTTTACCGCCATATTGGATTGTCTCGCGACCAAGACATGATTTGTAATTACGTAATTTTTGGTAATACTATAGTCGCTGATTGGCTAAGTTAACAGTGAACAGCTAACAGTTAACACGTCGATAGCATATAATTATAATATATTACTTAAAGGCACAGTGCAGCCTTTTGAATGATGGTTTTTAAGGCGCATTTCAGCCCTTTTAATTGAAAAAACTAACTAGGAAAATCAATTAAGCATGATTCAAAATCAGCAAACTCAATGTTTTTAACAATAAAAATGTTTTAAAATGTTAAAAACATTAAGTTTGCTGATCTTGAATTATGCTTAATTGATTTTCCTAGTTAGTTTTTTCAATTAAAAGGGCTGAAATGCGCCTTAAAAACCATCGTTCAAAAGGCTGAACTGTGCCTTTAATAGATTCAAAACGTGCTCATGATGTAATTGAAATCAAAAGAGTGCACATGTTGTCATGTGTGTTGCAAGTGTCAAAGTCGACATTATAGACCAATGTCATTATAGACCAATCGTGTATTTGCTCATAAATATATTGCATTATTGGACGAAAGGACTGGAGCTGTTAGTGCAGTGAATATGCATTCTGTTCAGTGTTGTATGTTCCAGTTCTTCGCCTTCTGTTGGTTGTATACCAAGCATGTTAGCTTAACGCTACGTGAATGATTCAAAATTGAATTCTCATCTTCTCACTCCAAAGCGTTTATTTTTTTTAGTCCTATGGTGGTTTATCATATTTTGTCCTGGTGTATACCACTAGATTTTGTTGCTGTTGTCCAAGTAGTGAATTTCGTAATATGGCCAGACGTGTAAGTATATTTATACAGTGCTTGCGACTGCGGTTTTATGTTGCTTTTAACCATTTTAAGAAATAGAAAATATTTTCCGTGTTTCTATAGAGTTTTAGTATAAATTCAGTATTGAAACTGGCTCTCAAGCGTTCTGATTGGCTCCCTCAGCAGTACCTCTGAGGCAGCAGTACCTCTCAGACTGCTCTGAGCAGTAACTATATATTCTGGTTAAATTTAACCCATTTCCTGGATAAAAATTATCAATTCGACAAAAATTTGGTACACTTTTTTGGACTTTTAACCAGGAAAATGGTTAATTTTTTTTAACCAGACTTGTGTAGGTGGATTTTTAACCCCCGTACTGGTTGAATTAACCCAAATTTAACCAGAGTGTTTTTAGAGTGTAGTAAATATGATTAAGAACGATAGTGAACATGATTAATTAAAAACGTCGCGAGGAAATTTTTTTTAAAAGACAAGGACAAAGTAAAATTAATTAAAATATCTTACCTTGGTAAACAGTCAAACAGATACAACGTATGCTGTATTATAATTTGTGCCTTTATAGGTCTTCGCTTTCTAAGTTAGCAAAACGTTCCCATTTTGTGACGGTTCTTCGGCATTTTTGGACGTTTTCCAACTTTTTTCAATAATTAAAAATTGTTTGTATTTTGTCTTTTAAACTCGATCCCGCGCAATCCACGCAACCTGCGCGAAAATTCCCGTGTTTCTATCGAGTTGTTGAGCTTTTGACCACAGCGCCCGTGTTTTTAAAAGGCTATTTTATAATGATATCATATATTATTCATATATAGTTATAATGCAATAACATGCACATAATTATATAACATTATGTACTAGATAAAACATGAGCAGCCGATCTGTATCTGATATACAAACTCGAGCCGAAGGCGAGAGTTTGTATATCAGATACAGATCGGATGCGAATGTTTTATCGTACTTAAAAAATGACCCATCTTATGAGTTCATTGGCGAAGTAATTTTAAAAATAAACATTGTCTAAGGCGAGAAAATCAAAGCTGAAGTTTATGTAAATCAGGACAAATCTTTATCCGATTTACAGACATTGATTAAACATTCATTTCTTTTGTATTTTCCTCGTGAATTATTAATGATTTTTTAAATATTAATATACAGTATATACCGTGCATAAATTGACTGGACAAGCACCTACAGCACGAAGAGATTTAAATTTGTGAATGCCAGTAAAGTGTAGCCATATAACACAATATTTTGTGCGTAGAAAACGAGTCGAACACTGAAATGTTCAGGAACAAGGTTATTGCAAACCATTTCCTAGTTTCCCCAATTATTAGCTTTGTGCTTACTGAAAATGCAGTAGAACATCCCATGCATGGTGACTATATATTAATTATGTGAAAAGTCAATTGCATGCAAATCAATTAGCCTTTCTCACGATGACTATATCCGCCAATCATTTTTGGGTGGCATCTAATTCTCGTTAACCAATGCAAACAATTAAAATAATGTGAAAAGCAGTTTTCCAAAATAAACTAACAACATTTACAAAGTAAATTTACCATCATTCGTCCGGCAAAAAATTATAAAAAGTCGCTGTTATGTGAACTTATCTCGCAGACTTCGGCTGAAAAGCCCTCCCAAAAATGGCGGCGTGCACGAGAAAGGCCAGCAACACTCTACTGAAAGTCGTGCAGTCAGACATGGGTTTTGTCCATGCAGATACTACAGTTTTCGCCGGTTTCCGCCCACAGAAAATGTTGACATGGTGGGTTGGGTTTAACCACACTGTCTCTGCATGCAACCACTGCTGTATGACATGTGCTCCATGATCAGACATGAGTCACACTGTGGCGACCAGAGGTGCTTTAGAAAGCCTTCGGCTCGATGAGGTTGAACAGCTTAACTCTCAGCTGCATGCAAGTATTCAGATTTGCTCCCAATGCATCGAATATCGATTACAACAAGCACGATCTTTAAATTTACATCCTTTTCATTCGGTGAACTCAAAATTTTTTGAGGTGCTGTGCATGGTGACATGCATGATAATGTTTTGTTATAATTTCAGCTGTGAAGGCTTCCACGGCAGTCAATCAAGGTTGATCATATCTTATTTACCAGTGATGATTGTAATGTTTGTTAATCCTATCTTATTCCTTGTTACTTATAGAAAAGGTAACCGGTGAGCGTTTATAGATTATCGTTTTCATGCATAATATATGTGATTCAATTTGATCACGTTTAACGGTTTGCGATTACCTGTATCAAAAATTGTTTTACCTACAGTTCTGAATGACAACTTGACTGACCTCGATATCTCAGTGTCCAGTCATGTCCAGTGGTGCCTAAATTACTTTGAATTTGTACTTGAGTAAAAGTAGAAGTAATTAACAATAAAACGACTTGAGTAAGAGTAAAAAGTACCGAAGGCAAAACGTACTTAAGTAAAAAGTACAGTTTTTAAGTATCCTTAAAAAATACTTGTAGTACAAAGTAAAAGTAAAAGTACTATTGTCTATAGCGTGTAGAGGGGGGGGGGACACTGGGGGGGGGGCTTCTCCAATGGATTGACATACAAAAGACACAAAACAGCACACGCATTATATGCGTGCACCATAATAACGGCTTATTGACCTCGCTTGTTCGGTCTGTACTGCGAAATAGCAGATCAAGATTTTTAGTGTGGACCGAGCGACGAAAGAGCGAGGTCCATGCAAAAAACAGAGGTCTGATATTTCACAGTACAGACCGAACAAGCGAGGTCAATAATCGGTTTATTATATTGCTGAACTGAGTCTGTGAGCATATGCTTTTCGCGCGAATCAAATGGGCTATCGTCAGTTTCACTGGGTAACAATATACGGTAGGCATGCATGCTCAATCAAAAACAATTTGGTTGTTTGAAATTTTTATCTGTAAATTTTAATGACACACAATTGGAAAATTAAAAAGCAAAAATTTTTTCTGTTTGCAAAGCAAAAATTTCCCGCCAGATAAACAACATCCGGGACACCGGTCCAGATACGAAAAATACGGACACGGTCCGGATATGGGTTTTTACGGACTGCTTGTCAACCAATCAGAATAGAGAATTTTGAAAAGCCATATAATAATATACAATATTTCACGGCATGGTCTACTTTCCAGACCCCGTTGAAGATATATGAAATCCATTAAATAAATAATGCTTATATGTAGAGGTTCTATTACCCGATCCCAAAATTAAAGTATATCGGGAATAAATCACGTAAAATTAAACAAATGTGAGAAACTAATGAAATACTTCGCCACAAAATGAAAATAACGAAGTAAAACGTTACTTCTTAAAACAACTTCGTTCCAAGTAAAAGTACTCGAGAAAAAGTTTACTTTGTTACATGCTCACTTCTCAAAAATAGTACTCAAGTACAGTAACGAAGTACATTTACTTCGTTACTTGACACCACTGGTCATGTCGTTAGGGAATGTGAATAGGTGTCTAGCCATTAATTGGGCATGCAGTATATAGAGCGTCCATGCATTAACTAAAGATGGGGTTAAGTCTGTTCTGCGCATGTGCTATGTGAGAACCCTCTGGGACCGGTTGCATGAAAATGTAGTTACAGTTATCTACAGTTAATGCAAAAGATAAGTTCAGTGGCGTAGCCAAGGGAGGGGGTGGGTGCGGTCGCCCCCAAACCGTTTCATAAAAAGTTCAAATCCGGCAAGATATTGGGGGGGGGTGGTGGTTGGGGGAGGTCAGGTGAGGTAAGCAAGGAGTCAAATCCAATTAATAGTAATTAATTGTTGAAAACCTGGTACAAATAAACATTTGTAGATTGTGTATTGTGCCTTGCTCCAATGTGTAATAATAACAGAATTTTGTGATAAATGACATTCTAATTACATCACTGATGTTAACCAATCAAATTCACGTATTTTAGCGTTAACTATACTATTTAACTACAAAATGGTGGTTAAAAAGTAGTTAATAGTTTTATACAACCGGTCCCTGGTGTAAACAAGATCCAAATTTAGCGTTGTTACGACATTTTCTGAATTAAAACTCTGATCTATATATATTATATAATTTAAAAGCATACGGTGAACCATGCAGAACGGTGTTGGACATTAACTCACTAGACAAATATGTCAGGAAATATATGTAACTGACATGAATGCCATTATGTACATTTCGATAACATTCAGTGAAAACATGTAATGCATTTAAACATCGGCTCAAGTCCGTTCGGCGGATGTGCGGTTTGTTTATATATATTTCAGTTGTCTTTTTCAGCACACTAAGCTATATATACGGTATATTCATAAGAGGGTCCTGAAGGGGGGGGGGGGTTCCAATCCCATTTCCCACCTGAAATTTTGGCAAAATCCCAGTCCCAGTTGGATTTTTATTAGAAATCCCAGTCCCAGTTATTGAAATCCCAGTCAATAAAAAACCCTTTATTTATCGGTAGAATAAACAGTTTTAAGACCTTTTAAGCAAGTGGCGGACACTTTATGAAATATTAGGGGGGGCTCGTGCCGAAGGCACGGAAAATTTTTAAATTTGAATCCCGGAAATGGCATTTGCAGCATTCTGAGACACGCATAATCATAAAACCCAGAATTCCGGGCGCCAGAGTATGCCTGTTCGCAGGTAGTGCTGTGAATAATATAGTTAACAACAAAAATCATGACCAAAGACACCAAAAACGGATCAAAATTGTATTTTAAAATACTCAAAACGCAGAAAAATTGGGAATCGACTCGCATTACCTCAATCCCATTCCCATTTTTGAGGACTTCATTTCCCATTCCCAGTGGCCAAATCCCAGTCCCAGCAACCCAAATCCCATTTTCCCAGTCTAAAAACAGATCAATCCCAGTTCCCATTTTACCCCTTCAGGACCCTCTCATAAAATATGATGTAGTTAGTAAAAATATATAATTAATTAAATGTCTTTCTTGCAGTTAAGCAGCTGTTGAGAAGTTCTGGGAGCTTCACAGTTGAAGACAGACAAGCTCTAAATGTTTGCAAATGGAAATTCTTTTGGATAATGGCTGCGTTTACAATATGGTATATGACCATGCATATTTTAGAAAATAATCACAACGCTGAAGAGCTAGTGAAGTATAATTTTATTGTTTGACTTAGCCATGCCCATGTTTCAGAGGTTTTGATCAGCTTAGGCAAAACGGGATATGGTGTATAGCAGATACACGTCATACACCAAGAGCCGGTTGTTGGAAAGCCGCGATGCATGATTATGATGGTTGTCCAATACAGCAGCATTTCACGACTCGTTACAACTTGTAAGGAATATTTCACGAGTGGTGAAGGACTTAAGTGTGCAGCCAGCCAAGTGGTGAACCTGACGAAATTCGTACGACTCGTTAAATCCGTGAAATTTCACGACTCGTTACAACTTGTGAGGAATATTTCACGAGTCGTGAAGGACTTAAGAGTGTACCCAGCGAAGTGGTGAACCTCACGAAATTCGTACGACTCGTTAAATCCGTGAAATTTCACGACTCGTGACAACTTGTAAGGAATGTTTCACGAGTCGTGAAGGACTTAAGACTGCACCCAGCCAAGTGGTGAACTTCACGAAATTCGTACGACTCGTTAAATCCGTGAAATTACACGACTCGTTACAACTTGTAAGGAATATTTCACGAGTCGTGAAGGACTTAAGAGTGTACCCAGCCAAGTGGTGAACCTCACGAAATTCGTACGACTCGTTAAATCCGTGAAATTTCACGACTCGTGACAACTTGTAAGGAATATTTCACGAGTCGTGAAGGACTTAAGAGTGCACCCAGCCAAGTGGTGAACTTCACGAAATTCGTACGACTCGTTAAATCCGTGAAATTTCACGACTCGTTACAACTTGTAATGAATGTTTCACGAGTCGTGAAGGACTTAAGACTGCACCAGCCAAGTGGTGAACCTGACGAAATTCGTACGACTCGTTAAATCCGTGAAATTTCACGACTCGTTACAACTTGTGAGGAATATTTCACGAGTCGTGAAGGACTTAAGAGTGTACCCAGCGAAGTGGTGAACCTCACGAAATTCGTACGACTCGTTAAATCCGTGAAATTTCACGACTCGTGACAACTTGTAAGGAATATTTCACGAGTCGTGAAGGACTTAAGAGTGCACCCAGCCAAGTGGTGAACTTCACGAAATTCGTACGACTCGTTAAATCCGTGAAATTTCACGACTCGTTACAACTTGTAATGAATGTTTCACGAGT